AGGTAAATATCTGGTCATTATTTCAATTAACAGACTTTACAGTGACAGAGGTGGTTTACATTGAATTTACCATTAGTATGAGGACCATTCTTAGTTTGTATTAAGCAAACAGGAGGTCTGTATGGGAAACTGAACGCAGGAGGTCCATATGGGAGACCAAATGCAGTGAGGTCTGTGCACACAACCGAGGTCAAGATTCTCCCGTACAGACATAATAAGATGTTTATTATATGGCAAACGAGAAATTTAGTTTGTTTAATGTAATTGGTTTGTACTAAGTGATATTTTGCTTGCGAACAGCAATGAGCTGAACTTAAATCTGTCAAAGTTTGCTCGCCCTCTTTACGTTCTTTTCTTATCAGGCTTTTTGGCACTTCCATAATATGAATATTTTCTGTAACTAATATTTTTAGAAGAAAAAAAGAGTCAATATATTTGTATTTTAGATTGCAACTTTTTTACTGCAAAATGTAATCGGTCTAGATGCCGGTCTAGATGGGAGAATCTACACCACCATCGCTATTGATTTCAGCCAATCAGATTTGTGAATTCGGTAGTTCCCAGTCCTTGTGAGACACAGCCATATAATAAAGGTTGAATTAATCAGCCCCAGGTCTCAAGTGACAGAATGTATCAGGTACAGCAAGAGGCTCTACAGAATAAGACACTAGTGGTGTTTAGAGTTAGGGTTAGGGCTACTTTAAATGTAGCTTTGAAAAAGTCAAGACATTGAAAGTTACATGGGATCCATTGAATTCAAGATGGGAATTCAAGCCAGTTTTTTTGTTTGTTTTGTTTGGAATAGGTAGTGTCCAGTCCCCAAGAGAGATATCAAACAAACTGTACTGTAAAAGACAATGTACTCTGTCTTGGTAAGTTAATATAAAAAAGATGTCATTTATTGACTTTCAGGCTAAAGGAACTATTATAATAATATTATTATTGTTTATCAACATCAGTCGTGACTTGCTCTCTCATATTTTCATCAGGCTCATATTTGTTTCATTGTTTAAGTATTGAGTCTTTCAATTGCCTATGTTTGTTGTGAATGGCTTATTTAGTACATTATGACTTTGGATTTGGTTTATGATGCTCAAGTGAAAACCACTCTAGAACTTCTCTAAATAACAATGAGTTACATTGTATTATTTCTTATATATATTTGATAATGTGCTACTGACTATGACATTCCATTTTTATTATAAAACAATGCTTGATATGTGGTAATTACATGTATCATAGTTATGAGTTGGCTAAAGTAACACTTGCATGACCCTGTCCATACAGCTGAACCTTTCCTCAGTTTGTTCTGCAGCATAATGTAATATGGATTGGATGCCAGTCCATTGCAGGGTTA